TTGTAATAATGTAAAATATGTGAAAAATAATGTGTTTTTCGAACAACCTAGTATGAGAGCCTGTTCTAGTATACCCCCAAAACAAAATCAAGACTTTTTAAAAGAGCATAATAGGACCCCTTTAAAGTCATAGTTCACCCTAAAATGAAAATTCTGTCATCATTTACTCAGCTTCAGGTTGTTCCAAACAGTTGGCAGCTACTATACTACTATACCAATATACAAGGTATATTGGTTCAAAATACCTTATTTTGTTTTCAACAGAAGAAAGAAACTAATACAGGTTTGGAACAAGGTTTCAAGGGTGACTAAGGGTGCTTTCACACCTGTAGATCGATTGATTTGTTCCGACGATTGTTTTGGCGCGGATCCGAGCACGATTGCCGTGTTCACATATGCCCAAACGAACCGAGCTAAGGGGGGAAACGTGCCAGGTTCCGAAACAACAGCCAGGAGTGAAAGCACCCTAAATGATGACAGAATTTTCATTTTTGGCTGAACTATCCCTTTAACAGGTCAACTTCAGCCCCACTGCATAGTAGTCCAGCTGATAAACATACTAAAGAAAACACACAGCTTAAACCAGCCTAAAGAGGCGTCACACTAGACTTTTTGTTCCATTTACTTTTTTTTATTTTATTTTTTTTTGCATTTTGCTGTTTTCTAAAGTTTAAGTTTAGTGAACTGTGTGTGACCTATGAATTTGTATCACATGAAGTTGTGTGACCAATAAAAGATTGATATGCCATGGTGTGACCTCTTACCTGAATTAAAAGAGCACAAACCTTAAAGCTAAAAACTTTGCAGTGTTGCAGAAAAGTGGAGTACATTGCATATTTTTACATTCTTCGATTATTTGTTATGTGTTAAATATTGAATTTGTAATAAAAGATGCCACGGAGTGTCATGTCATATCACATCCTTTGAGGGGTCCCAAAAAATTTGTGTGCTCAAATTCTAGCGTGACCACCATCTGGTCCAGCTAATGAATGTAAATGACTTGCTTAATCATTAAAAATGTCAGCAATGTAATACTCCTGTAAAACCATCAGAAGCTAGTTTTAGATGGATTTTCCAGCAGTAAGTGGTTGTACAACTATACAATGTTATATGCTTACATTACTTTGTAATGCAATTTTGACTGTCTAATATGCTTGTACGTACTGATTGTTTGTCTGTCTTATTCTCCACAGCCTGCATCTTTCGCTACAACGCTCTCTCTTTAGTCTACCTTCTTTACTTGCTGCTATTACCATGGTTTCAATGGCCCAACAAACACACACTACGAGGTAAGACAGTTTCTCACGCTTTGATTCCTAATTTCACAATACTTTGCCTGACCAGAAAACTAGCTGATTGCAAAACAAAAACAATTGCTAAATGAACAATTGTTTGTGAAACAGCCTCAGAGGTTGCTGTTTCATAGTTCAAGAATTCTGAGTGGAAAGAATAGCTCAGATAATTTTCTCTTGAAATAATTTGAGAAATGTTTTAAGATAATTTTAAGATCTTTGAACAGACTTTGGTATCTTGGTCAATCTGAGCATGTTTTGAGACATTGTCAAGATCTCTTCTGAAACATTAGAAAACGACATGTGCGGGTCTGTTTCCCTTGAAACATCTTAAAAGCCAGAGACTTATAATAATAATAATAATTCATTACATTTATATAGCGCTGTTGACAGTATAGTGTCCCCGTCACTATACTGGGGCGTTAGGACCCACACAGACCACAGGGTGAGCACCCCCTGCTGGCCTCACTAACACCTCTTCCAGCAGCAACCTAGTTTTCCCAGGAGGTCTCCCATCCAGGTACTGACCAGGCTCAGCCCTGCTTAGCTTCAGTGGGTAACCAGTCTTGGGTTACAGAGTGATATGGCTGCCGGATAGCATTACTTAAAGATAGTTTAAATTTTCTCTTTAGTTTGCTTTGATTCAGTCGATGTTGCTTAATCATAAAAGCCCAGAGTGACCATAATTAAAATTTACTGCTGTATGGAGCAGCACTTGTTGTGCTTTTGACAAATGAAATCGAAAACAAAGATACAAAATAAAATAAAAGTAACTTGAAAATTACAGCCATAATTATTATTTTTATGATAAGAATAAGAATAAAAATAATAAGAATAATTAATAAATTGAATATTATTTAGTTATATTTTGCATAAGATAAATATAGGAAGATACAATATATTTCTTATTACGTTTTGTTTTTTAAATATAAAATATATTTAATATTTATTTATATTTGTACATTTATTTATATATATATATATATAATATATACAGTATATAATAATAGGAATATATACGATAGAGGAATCCATTATAAACCATGACCCATTCATTCCTGTAGTACCACAGAGAGAGAGCTTGGAGTATCACAAGACCACAGAGATCCACAAAGCCTAAATGATGATACAATAAACAAAAGGTTCTTTGGCTTTCAAAAGTGGTTTTGCATCATTTTTGGTGTTTTTTCTTTTTTTCATTCAAGCACCTTACTATGTATTGTGTATGGTTCAGGGATTGGATCCAGCTTTGTGGCTTTGGCAGGCACATCAGTGACAGGAAGGCAGTCCATTTATCTTAGGGCTTTAGTCCAGAGCTCTCGAGCTCATAGCAGGTGATCATCATAGCCACATCCTGTTTAAGAGGCAGGACTGCTGGAAACAAAGGTGTTGGCAGTATGTATTTGATAACTGGGCTTAATAAGGTGCTGAAAAGTGGATGATGGTTTGATGCTCTGTATAAAAGAACCACTAGCTGTGAGCACATCCACACTCATAACAGAAGTATGTGGCCATGAGGAGTGGCATAATACCAGTACTCAGACTAATTGTGCCTCTTCACCACTGTCATGAATCCAGTTTTGTGCCTTTTCTAGCACCAGGTACACCAGGGTTCTTATCATTAAAAGTAAAACCATAAAAAACTAAAACCATTTTCATTACCTGGAATAAAATATACTTGAAATGAAAATGTATTTACTCACTCTCTGAGGATTTGTTTATTTATTTATTTTACATAATTTTTTACAGAATGTGAAATTTTCGAAACATTGACAGATAATTCAAAATGCTTTCCTTTATTCAGAGAGAGATGAAATGAGGCATCTGGTCTGTAGAATAAAGGTAATAGGGATTAGAAATGAAGAAAGGGAGGAAATGGTTTTAAAGTGTCTGTGTGAAAATAGACCCAGAGAGAAACCGGAGTGAAAATTTGGGGAAAGAAATTATAGATTCTAAGTGGAAAGATTTATGAGATATTATTTATTAAATCAGGTGACCAAATGGCAGGGCCGCAGTGAGTGTCTGTAGGCTTTTTTTAATTTTTTTTTACATGAGGTCAGAATTAAAAGAAAAGGCTAGAACCCACAACTCTTGGTAAAAAGTAAATGCACTTTTGCCACAGAAGCTCTGGGGTGTATTCCAGAAAGCACGGTTAACTTACCATCAGCTAAACCCTGAACTTAAGGTTGATTAACCCCAAACCTTGCTTACTCGAGGTATGTGGTTCCAAAAACGCATCCGGGAGTAAGTTTAGGACCATGTGATATTTCAGTTTTTCTTTTTTAATAAATCTGCAAAAATGTCAACGATTCTGTGTTTTTCTGTCAATGTGGGGTGCTGTGTGTACATTAATGAGGAAAAAAAATTAACTTAAATGATTTTAGCAAATGGCTGCAATATAACAAAGATTGAAAAATTTAAGGGGGTCTGAATACTTTCCGTACCCACTGTATATATATATATGTATATATAATAGGCTATATTACATATTGTAATATTATATAATGTTGTGCGCTATCTGTCATGCCCACTGAAGGCTCGTTAGTAGATCACACGTGCGCTGACGTGAACTAACCCTGAAACATAACCTGCTCCAGAGCAGGTTATCTTCAGAAAACAAGTTACTATGGTTACTTACATACCCTGAAAGTAACCTCCGATTTTGGAACCGAAAGCTGAGATTATCCGCTCGCTTATCCTCAAGCATACTTGTATGTATGTCACACAACCTGCTTTTTGGAATACCCCCCTGGTGTCACATTACACATAATCACATTAAACATGGGCATTTACTCGTTTAGCAGATGATTTTCTTCTCTGATTTGTATATAATTATTAATTAATTATTTGCTCTTTCAGGGCTCCAGACAAAAAAAAATCACTTAAGGGGCCATTGGCTCCTATAAGAAACAAAAGTAGGCGGCAAATTATTTTTTTAAGTGCCACAGAATATATATATTTTTTTAACACTTAACATTTAAGTCGAACTGTCATGTGTTTATGTCTCCCCTCCTTTTACAGCATCAGCATTTTAATCCATCTTGTAGATGTCCTGGGAACTAAGCTTCACTTAACCCTTGTGTGGTCTTTGGTCATTTCTGACCGGAGAATTTTACATTTAGAATTTTTAAAAATCGTAGCTTCACCAGAATGGTATGAAACTTGGTGTCTTTTATGGCATTTGGTATGTGAACACAAAAAAAAATTCTCACTCATGGTCTTCGGTCAAAAATGACCGACCATAGGAAATGAATGGGAAATGGGGAAAAAAAATCGAAAATACAGAACATTTTTATGTGTACAATCTACAAATGCAAAATCAACACACCAACTCACACACGCGTGGACACACACTTGTACACACACACACGTAGTTATGAACTGGTGTGACTGTAAAACTGCAACTATGTAAAATAAAATCAGTAATTCGACTACAATGCAGTAAAAAAGTGGACAGCAAGGAAGGGGTTACACTCTAAAACATCAAGAGTGTAAAACAGATACATCCACTTACACACACTTACATACACGCACTCCCAGACACACACATACAGAATTATACATACTCAAATGAATTGGTATGGCTATAGCCATATAGCCAAAATGAGTCAGACGACTGAAATAAGAGGTTAAAATCAGATCAGACACAGAAGGATTAAGCTCTGATAAAGCATTCCTGTTAATTTTTGTAATTTTTTTATAGAATTTTAATGTTTTGTGTAACAACCTGCTTTCTGTGTTCAGGTCTGAATGTAGTAATAATACTGCAAAAACCTACAGTTCAAATCAACATTTAAAACAACAAAAAATATAAACCTTGACAAAAAGTAGTCTTTGAGAATGCCTTAATATACATTTAAATCCACAACCTAATAAAAGTAAACAATTATGTATAAAAACAACTATAATCCCAAGCCTCACAATTCACAAGCCTCTCTATAGAGTCCTATACAGGAATCTA